CTTTTTCTTCTGCCTTGGACTTTCCCTAGTATTATTGACTTCTCCAGTGAGTCTTGCCTTGTCATGCTGTGTCCTATAGAATGACAGCCTTAGTTTTGTCATTTTTGCCTCTAGGGAAAGCTCTGGCTTGATTGATCTAGGACCCACTTGTTTGTCTTTCTGCCAGTCCAGGCTATTTGTAAAGATTTCCTCCAGCACCATTTTTTGAATGTATCAAATTTCTTCCTGTCAGTTTTCTTCACTGTCCAGCTTTCAGACCCATACATAGTGGTAAGGAATAAAATAGTGTGCATGGTTTCCAATAAAATGACTACACTTGATGATCTTTTCTAGTCCTTGCACTTCCAAGTTTCAGTCATCTTCTAATTTCTTGGCTGAAGTCTCCACTTGAATTGATGACTGAGACAAGGTATACAAAGTCTTTCACAATTTCACTCTCTGCAGTCTTGACAATAAAGTTTTGTAATACTTCTATAGTTACGATTTTGTTTTCTTAATATTTTTCTGCAGTCTGCTTTTGCACTTTCTTCAGTTATACAATAGCCTAAACTCTGTCTTTTCTTGGAGAGGGGCAGCTTTCTTCCAAGGGGTCTACCCCACAATGAATTGAGAGGGAAAATGCACAAACCCTTCAGATGGTCTAAAGTTCTGTTTTAAAGTTTTTAAAAAATAATGGTAATCCTCCTTCTCATTATCATTATATTACATTGATAATGTGTATTCCACATTTCTTCCTCTTACAAGGAACTGCAAGTTGCTTAGAAGCATTGTTCTTTCCATGTTATCCTCACAACAACTCTTTGAAGTAGGTTAGGCTAAAAGTCAGTGATTGGCCTAAGTCACCCAGTGAGCTTCATGGCTGGGTGGGAATTAGAATCCAGACCTCCAGTCTAACTCTATAAGCACCATGCCACAATATCTCTCATAATTATGCCAGGCCCACACTGTAGTTTAGCCATTTGATTGGCTGAATTGTGGCAAGGTGTTGATAGCACAGTAGCGCTGGGGTTATACCAATGCATTTGATATCCTTGTGACGTAGCAACATGGTCCCAGGGTGTACCTAGACTTTGAGGGGCATAATGGGTTTGTCTTTTTCTCATCCTCTCTGCTTGGTTAAAATTTAAATTGGGATTGCTCTTTAGCTGTACAAATATAAAATAAAGATTATAGAGAGTGAGAATAGAAGTGAGACCTTTTCATGTATTAAGCAATAAATCATTTGCAGTCTTAATGCACTGAACTTGAAATCAAAGTTAGAAAGCACAAATTGATGACACTAAGAAATAAACAACTTACCCTAGAAGTCTGGAAGAAAAAAATAAGCCAATAATTGGAAAAGAAGAGAACAACAAAAGATTATTTCAAAAGAAATAAAACCATGATCAAAGTTAGAAAGAACAGTTGCAGAAGAAAAACAAAGGTTGAATTTATGAGTAAGAGGCATTACAACAGAAGAAGCAACAGAAAAGATGGAAGGGTATAAATAGTACATTTTAAAGAAAAGAAGAGGTATTCTTTGCAGATACTAGAACAAGAGAAGATGATAATGGAAAGAAGGTGACGGTGGTGGTGAAGAGTGACAGAGCCATTTGAAAGAGAAAGAGGTAATTTTAGAAGAATGGCCCATAGCAATCCTATCAATAATAATTCACTATATTAGAAAAAAGTGATAAAAAGAGGATGTTGGAGAAGTGCATTAAGTATTGAGACCAAATGACCTAGACAAGGAAAAATCAAATAAGTGAAATAAGACTGTTTAACAGGAAAAAGTACATGTAAATAAGATGAAGACAAGTTTATATGGAAGAAGTCTGAATAATGAGATATACATTAAGACTGTTCAGTAGACCAGAGTCACCAAAAATGAAGTATGAAAAGATTGCTGCATAATCCCTTTTAGTTAGTAGTGGCAAGATCCTATGAGAAGCACCCACAGTTAGGCTTAGTTTCATTGGGGGATGAGAATGAAAGTGTTATGTTAGTGGTTGCATCTTTCCCTTTTCCAAAAGGGAAAAAGATGTTAACCTTGTTTTTTGTCTCTTCCTCTAAATGAAGAAACTGTCGCTGAGGCACTCTGAGGAGAGATGAGCTACGTTTGGTACCAATGGCATCAGATATTTGCTGAAGCCCATGGACCGGCAGGGGACCTACTGCCCAGTTCTGGAAGCCTTTGGCCCTACTCCTCCTCTTCACCTGCTCCTTCTGAGTAAGTGAATGAACAAAGGAGCAAGCAAATGACTGAAGTGTGGAAAAGGAATGAGAGCATCCACTCACCTCTGTATCTGGCTGTTCAGACTGGATCTATAGGGAAGGAAAGTGAATAGGAAGCAGAAGCAGCAATGAGCAGGTGGGCCCATGGGCAGCATCTTCCCTAAGGTTCCCTCAAATCTGGATCCCAGTTCTAGAAAGGGGGGCACCAAGAAGGAAGTGTAAAAGAAAGTTCTCAGGAGGACAAGCTGTATCTCATATAGATGAGCTATTTAGAGGTGAAAGAAACACTGGCTTCTTTGGTTGCCCTCAGTGCTGCTCATTTGTTCTTTGCCCAACCTTGTTCATCTACCTCACCCATTATCCAATTCAGAGTTAAGTTTCTTTAACAAAAAGCCCACACACTTATTATCTCTTCACTTGCTGAAAAAACAGGAGTTAAAAGTTACAGTCCTAAGCATATTCATAGCCTGGTCCTCAGGAATAAGTCTGAGTTCAATGAAGCCCAGGATGCATAGGATTGCAGCTGTACTTGGAAGTAGGCCCCATTATAGACAGTAAGAATAAATTTGCAAGTAAATGTGCTTAGAACTAGAATTGGTTAAGGGTCTGTTAAATGGAAGCAACTGTTCTTGTGAATACAAACCATCTGTTGACATGTAGCTCTTCTGTAGAGAGGACACAAACTGAATTGTGGCACAAAATCATTTCTGTCTGGTCCATTGAATATTCAAATATAAATACATAAATCCCAAAGCATGAACTGAATAATACACTGTAACATACTATCTAATCTAAAATACTTGATTCTCTGATATTTTATATTTGATTCATGGTACATGCCAAAAAGTCATAAAGGTAAAGGTTTCCCCGTGACATTATAGTCCAGTCATGTCTGACTCTAGGGGGCGGTGCTGATCTCTGTTTCCTAGCCGAGGGAGCCAGTGTTTGTCAGTAGAGTTTCCATGGTTATGCGGCTGGCATGACTAAATGCCAAGGTGCATGGAATGCTGTTACCTTCCCACCAAAGTGGTACTCTTTTATCTACTTGCATTTGCATGCTTTCGAATTGCAAGGTTGGCAGGAGCTGGGACAGAGCAATGGGAACTCACCCCATTGTGCAGATTCAAACCGGCGACCTTTCAATCAACCAGCCCAGCAGCACAGCAGTTTAAACCACTGCATCACCATAGTAGTCCATATATTGAAGAAAATATATTGGGAAGGTTCTGGGCTCCAGCAAACTCAATACATTAATTAGCATTACTTAATTCCTTGAATTATTTAAAATACTTTAAGTACTATTTTAAGAAATAGCTGTTATATGAAAGACCCTGCTCCTAGGACCCTTTAGACTAGAGGGTCAGAACTTCTTTCAGCTTCAGCTTCAAGGCCAAGTTCCATTTTGGAGAAGAGGCTGGATGAGTAGAACTAAAGGCAAACAGTGCATGGTAAAATACCACCAAATTTTAACTTGATGCTCTTAATGTCAGTAAGCATTAGGAAAGGAATTTCAGTATTTTAGAATGCAGGAAAAAGAGCATAGGAATTGGGAAACCATTGATGTTCTTCAGTTACCAGAGGAAAAGAGGCAGGTCAGGATAATGTTTCTGTGGTCTTTTAAGGCCCAGAGATGAATATTGTGCCTCCAGGTTTGACGTTTTAGAGCCATTGTTATGGCTACCCAGAAGTGGGGGGCAACTTGCCTTAGAGCCCTGTGAAACAATTTCTCCTGCAAATTTAACACCACCCCGTTAGACCCTGTGATGAAGATTTGCCCTTGCCCTGCCCGTTGCTCATGAAAATCTCCTCCTTACACATGTCCCTTGTAGGGGGGAATGGCAGCAACCCAAACATCAGAAATGCCCTGGGCCCCATAAATCCTCTGGGAAATCTGGTGGTGCTTCCAGGCAAGGCTTTTATCACATCATCATTCTGCCCTTTGAACAATATTGTATGAGTGAGGGCAGCATCCAGATGCTGTTGTCTTCCACTTATAACCCTCCTGTGTCTCCTCACTGCTTTTTCTGCCTTCCTCCTTAATATGGAACAGATGCACAGTGCCTTCTAAATGGGAGTCCTCAGTCTGGAAGCCTCCTTTGACCATGGTCAGGACCAAACAGATGATCAAATTGCCTGGCTCTGTAAACCAGCTTCAGCGGTATGGAGCAAGCTATCAGCGGGAACCCAGTCCCAGAGAGATCGACAGGCAGAAATGAGAAGCATCTGTTTGAACAGTCGCAGAAAGCAGATGGGGTGAGGTGCAATGGGGGAAGGGGATCACCTGCCGAGATCTGTGTAAGAAATGCAGAGCGAGCCATGTGCCTTGTGGAAGAAACCACGGAGGCGCCTGGCTTGTGGTGGACTGGCAGCTTCTTTTAGAAGCCTCCTTTTTTTGCAGGCACAAAAAAATTGTGGATAGCGCAGTAAAGGAAGTCCTTGTCTGGCTATTTACAGGGAGGAAGAGATTCTCTCCCAGGGAAAGCGGCCATTTCTGCCATTTGCTGAAGAAGCCCATCTCGAGCCTCCTCAGCAAGCGGCAAACTATATATAAAAAAGGAAGCGATTCTGCTTGCCTCCTTTCCTATTCTTGGGCAGGAAAGAAGAAACTACGCCTCAGCATCCTCACGACGATGCACTACTAGGATTACGTCAGCTACTCGTATCCAAAGAGACGCCGTCTCATTGGCTGGCTGGGAGAGCTTTTTTGGCCAATAAGCATGCGGTAGGGCCCCAGGCCGGGCGGGCTGACGTGAGAGCTCCAGCCTCTGCCGTATGGGGGTTTATTTTGCTTTGGGCCGCTCCAGCCGCCGCCATTAGGCGAGCCAGGATAGATACTAGGGTGGCGGGATCTCTTTTCCTAGCTTCCCCCCCATCCTGCAAGGGTGGTAGCGCCCTTCCTCCTAACTACGTCCTTTAGGCGGCTCGGACCAGGAAGAAACCATGTCCTGAACAGGGGGTGAGCGTAGGAGGCCGCAGCCAGCGGTGCAGGGGTGGGTGGGATGCGGGTGAGGGGAATGATCAGTAGCTGCTGAGGAGACAGCCGCAGGATCGGGAGGCGGTCCTGCAAGGTATGGTAAACCTTTTCCCCACGCACTTTCCGTCACTCGTGCGGGTTTGGAGAAAACGGGGCGGAGGGGAGGTGTATAGAGCTCCCAACCCTTTGGGGACTTGGAGACCATGTGAGAAATTACCTCACGTTGAGTTTTCCTCGCTCCCCCTTGTCTGAGTGTGAGGTAATTCTTCGACTAACGCTATCATTATTCCTCGGAGGAGAGGAATGGGATATTGAGTCGCACTTCTGAGATAGGAGGTTAACTCCTCTGTCTGCTGCCCTCTTTCCTATATCCTACCATAATGCTCAGTTTCCGTCCCGTTCCGTCCCGTCCCCCTCCCCCGTTTCAAGATCACTTTGTTGGTGAACCTACCCGTTCTAGTATTGCTGAAGTGTAAAAGGATTCCCCCTCCCCATTTTGTTTAAGGCTGGGGACAGGGCCAAGTAGTCCTCTCTAGTGCCTTTCTTCCTCAGCTCTTAAAAAAAAAAATCCTGCCTTTAAGGTTTTTGCTTGGGCCGAGATAACAAGGGAGATGTTCTAAAACTTTCCTCGGTGTGCTCTGAGTTGGGGATGTGGGGTCATTCATAATTAACGCAAGAGTTGTCATAGCTAAATGGAATGCTTATCTGTCGCTCTGTGTAATGACCCTCTTGTCCGCCGACCGTCCGTTCTCCCTCCTAAGGATTTGGGACATTCGGCCACCTTCCCTCGAGGGATGCTGCTGTCGCAATTCGGTTGTTTACTAGGAACTGCAACCTGGGATAGTTGCTTGTGAGAGAGTTGGCTTTCTGTACTTGAAGTGTTAATGTGTATATAATGTGTATTGAGTCACACACTGCCTCTGAGGCTTTTGGGAAATCACTCAATATTGCAACCTCTGTTTTGCTTTCCTCAATTTGTGTGTGGTTGTCAGAAAGGCATTGTCTTCATTGAAAGTGTTGTTTCTGCATTTGTAAGGAAGAATTTGATGCAATAAATGCTCAGTAATGTACAACTGGTACATCTTTCACTATTTCGTATAAGCGTTTATAAACATATTGTTTGGCACATGCAGGAGAGACACATTTCTGTGTGTTTAGTTATCCACATTTAGTGCTGCAGTACCTACAACTTACTACAGTGAGGTCATACTTCTGTTTTCAACCCCTTCTCTTCCTCATTATTCATCAACAGTAACTTGAATCTATTTCTGTAGCAAAAGGTAATTTGTCATAAATACTGGATATTTTTATGCTACACAGGTTAAACTCTGTCCTTGCATAAAATGGAATCAGTGTAATTTTGTGCAGTTGTGGTAGCTGAACAGGTTATTAATTTTTCCATAATAGCAGCTTTTAACTAGTGTGATCATGCATCCTTGGCTTGATCACATTTCATGAACACCATTAGGCTGTTATAGGAATGAGTACTGGAAAATAATTTAAAAGAGTTTCCTAAGAAGCTTCCCAAATTGTAGCAGCTATCTTTATGGCTAAATAAGGCTTTTATTTAGGGTTTATTCCAGGTACTTTATGAGCACCTGGACTATTTCAGGTAGTCTTCCCTCACTTTCAGAGAGTTGTGTGTCCTCCAGCTTTGTGTTTCTTGAAAAAACTTTGAGGTTATATGCATTACATTTCTCTATATGATTATAACACTACCCTTCTAATCCAACTGTCAGTATGCCATAGTCAGCTGATTTGTTATATAGTTACAGGAGGGGTGCAATCTCGTCCAACACCAGATACAGTCCTCAGGATTGACAACTCCATATAGTCTTAGGCATTAGTGTGAGAATGTATTTGACAGCAGGATGCCACAATCAAATAGGTTTTTAGTATGACATCAACTCATGAGAGATGACAGTATAATTGGGAATGCTATCCAATGCTGTAATTGGCAATCCTGTTACATATATGCTGCCTGTGCTTTCAGAAGCAAATATTTGTCTAACTTTTATATTTTTCTGGCAATTGGGCAGAGGTGTGTTGAAGACTAGCTGCATCCTACTAAATAACAGGGAGTATCCCACTTCTCCTTTTTTGGGGTATTTACAGCATCTTGATAATTGTAATCCAAATGCACTTCAAAGTTCTACTACTATAACTTCCATTTGGTTCAAGAAGTTGTTTCCTTTTTGTTTTGGGGATTATTTTTAAGGTTATTCTGCTTGTGAGTTTCCAGTAGATTGTTAAGGAGTCCACTAAGGAAGCCACTAATTTATTTATTATTTATTTAAAACATTTCTGTGCCGCCCCCATCACAACAAAGCCTCGGGGTGGCTCACAACAATGAAATTGGTAGCTGAGTTCCAAAAGTTCCTGTTGGCTTGTGTATGTCAAAACCAGCCCTCTCAACTTATTTCTGTTTATTAATTTAGACTTCTCTGCATGGAAAGTTAAAATTTACAAACTTATTGTAAATAATTTTACACTGGCTAAAAAGAAACCAAAGTGACTTAAACCATAAAATACAAATTAAACAATAGACATGCCATAAATAATAAAAAATAACAGAAATAATAAAAATAACTATATAACAGTACAACAGAAAATTACAAGGAATAAACAAGACACAACCAGGCAGAACACAGTTCAAACCAAAGACTACTCTATAAAGCTGGACCATGACATCTAAAACAATCCATGTTTAGGATAGCCTTCCCTAGAGAGGCATGCCTTTCTGCTGTGTTGATGCCACGGCCAAAAGGGCCCTGCTTATTATAGACTTGTTACACTTCAGTCATTAATTGAGGTCTGAAGCAGTTTATGGCTTTAAAAGTAAGAACATACATCTTGAATTGGGCTCAAATATATATTGGTAGCTAGTGCAGGCCAAATATAACTGGGTGATCAAATTGCCCCATGCTAGGCAACTGTATAGTAGCAACATTTTATATCAATGAAAAATTCTAAGGATTGATTCTGATAGAGTATTTTATAATAGACTAGAATAAAGATGCTGTTGCATGTAACAATCTGACTTTGAACATATAAAGCATGGAAAAGTATTTTTGAAATTTCACATGCTCTTTTTAAAAAACATACAAATTGGCTTACGAAATGTCAATCTGTTAAACAGTGCTCAAAATAGCAATATGAACTGCTTCATTCAAAAGCAGCAATAATTTCAAAGAATTAGCAATAGCAAGATGAAAACAGCTTTAGCTGCTGATACAATAGATAATTTGGGTGATCTTTTGGGGCAGAGAATTCCAGAAGGTGCAACTACACAGCAGTCCCATCTGTCTCTTTCTCAAAGATAAGATTGATAAGGATATAGAATACACAACAAATTTACTTCCTTATTAGAACTGGCTGAGAGGAAAGTTAGTGAATTGCTTAATCTTCTCACACTGACATTTTATCTTTAAATAGCCAGACTTTTGCTGCTTTGAGCTCCGAAGTAACTGTATCATATGATATCATGACTATTTGGTCTGCCAGCATGCTTGCCCTCTACCAAAGATTTAGGCAGTTTATCCATTCATTAGCTTAAGGATATGTTTTAGCTACATAGCAGAAGCCTAGGTTGTTGAAATCACTGAGATTCCTTTTGTAAGTGTGATGAGTTACTGCTAGTTATTATTTGGAGAGCTTTTCTGGCTTATTTGAAATCCACTCAGGGAGCCTTATGGATAATGGGGTGGGCTAAAAATCAAATGAATAATTGGGCAGGATATAACTAATAATATAAATAAAATATAGATAGCAAAGCTTAAATAATGAAAAATAAGTGTGCAAATTTAAGTTAAGGTGATCATATAATGAGTAATTCTATTTCAGTTTTTTCTTAAATGAAAGCACACTGGCCTGAAATAGCTATTCTAAGAAACTCAAGGCTAATATATTGCATATTAAGAAATGAATACTAAGGAAGTTTCTTACTGGTTTCAGATGTATTATTGCTAGTGGTGTTTAGTCAAATATTCTACTTGTGCCACATACCCGTATATCTAATGAATCTGTGTTGACTAGATTCATGTATAGAAATCTGGGCTTTCCTTACTTATATTTACCCTTCCTTAGACTGATGTCTTCCAGATGTTCGGGCTACAATTGCAAGGATTCTTGACTAACAGACCTGTCAGATGGGCTGATTGAGCATCTGGAGGGGACCAGGTTGGGAAAGGCTGATTATATCTTAAAAATTTCAGCACCCATCTTCAGAGTAACAATGAAGCAGAGTTCACTACTGCAGTCTGCTACAGGTATTAAAATAGTGCTTGCTATACACATGTGAGAGAGGATGGAGGTGGAAAATATTTTCCTAGCCTGCTGTTCGTGGTAGAGTAAAACAGCTGTATTGATTGATGTGCATAACTCCTGATGTGCTGGTATAGTATCCCTTTGCTGTAGCCATTTAATGAGAAGGGGGTGTTTCTAAATGACTTTGCTGATAACCATAATTAGGTAAGCCTGGAGGGAATTTTTTTGCACAGCAGTTACTTCTTGAAACGATAAATATCTTCCCTGTGCTTGAAATGCTATTTGCTATATGGCAGTTGTAAGGAAAAAGTGAATAGGTCAAAAGTCCCCTTGATGGCTATATGCACTGTTTGAGTGAGTACCTATTCAGTAATAAATGACTGATTTGAAAAATAGCAAGCATTTTGTTTGACAAAGTGCCAGTTGAGACAGCTTGCTGGCATGTATTGCATTTTACTTGCACTTATGACATGGCAGAGCTTTTGGTCATGCAGAATTGGAGGGTTAGGAAGAAGGAGAATTTGTTGAGGTAAACTGTAGGCAAAATCTTATTCATAGCCCATAGTTTTCTGTAGGGCAAGCATCTCTAAAAATTGCATATGTACATTTTTGGTAATTTAGGGTCAATAACTTTTTTTTTGGTGTTGGCATGAAATATAAACTGATGTTTAAGCACTGAGTTAATGTTTCATACATCTAGAATAGATTTAAAAAATCAAGTTGTTCTGTTGGTTCAGTAGAAAACACATAGTGAAATAATGTTGTTTATCAAGGCTAACCTGTGTTGCAGTATCCGTGTACCTTTTTTGTTTAATTTTGACTTAACCT